AAGATATTGAAATTATTTATTTGAAGAGATATTATCTTATATATTTATATATATAATTTTGAATTAATTAATTGGATAATATTATATTTTGAGTGATATTTTGAAATAATAATAGTTATTATTTTCTTATTTTTAAAATAATAAGAAATAATTAATTGGACTTTTGTCGATGAATGAGTTAGGGTTAATGTTTTTATATAAATACGTAAGATTAGAGTTGTCTCAAAAACACTTTTAATGCGTGCCTTATGATCTAGAGGATGAAAAATTGAAGACAACCTTGGAGACTATCAAAGGCAATCTTGGAGACTTGAATAAAGAGTTTGACATCCATTAAGATAAAGAGGAGTGAGAATCTCGCTTCGAGTGTGGGTTATGTATTGGATAGTCGAATTAACCCTTAATCTTGTTGTTTGTGAATGAATTCATGAGGAATTAAATCCAAAACTTGTTTGTGATTGAAATATGTATTTGTTGTTCCCTTGTGTTATGATTATGTTGTTATGCTATCTATGATATTGTCTCTGATTGTAAATATATGAGTGTCTGTGGATTCTCAAGAGAATCCTAAGAATTAATACAAAGCAAATTATTAGAGAAACAAATATGAATAGGAAACCTATAGACTAGAATGAAACAATTATGCATTAGATCCCCTTAATATGATATAAATTAGTAGTGTTGTAATTATAAGTGTATCATTCCTAATTCATAAGTTCTATAGAAAAAAACTTGACAATACCACGTCAAGCACTACCTTGTGCCTACAACTGAATTGTATGTAGTTGATTAATGTATGTGAATAAATCTTAATAGGTGAACTATATGAACAACTAATTGATTATGATAAATGAAGTATGTGTGTTTAGGGATGTAGTATGGAAAATTAAAAATGTGTATGATGCTAATGTGAATCCTTGAAAATGTGATATATGTGTTATGTAACAAAAGTGCGAATAATGATGTGATTAAGTCTAAATATATCTTAAAAGTGTGAAAGTTTGGTTAAATTACCTAGCAGGGATGTGAATAGTGTAATGTGAAATTGAGTATATGAGAAATGTGAATTTGATTAGTATGCCCATGCATAAAGTTTGTGACATGCATCATGTACATTATGTGTTTTTGTGATGGATACAATATGAAATACGCTGCTAGGAAATGCCCCCTCGTGTAAAAGTTTGGGAATCAATCCTCGGGGATAATTTGGTTAGGGAAGCCTCAGTCTCGCCCATTGTATGCATGGGGTGGATCTTATGTGACTCAACTATACCAGCAAAACCCTAGGTGTTTATCCTTCTATTGTAGAGTGTTGTGATGGTTTGACCTGACATGTATTCCTAGACTACTCAGCCTTTGGGTAAAGATAAAGTGATTTTACTAGCGTCACATGCTTGTAGTTTAGGATAGTCTTGTCCTTGTATAAATATAACATATCCATTGTGTTTGAACTAGACTTTAATATGTAAAGAGATGTGATGTAATAGAATGTGACTAAATGATTATTGCTTTGATTGCTAAAATGTTATAGATATATAGAATAATTGTTGATGAATTATATGTATGTTTTATAGTATGTTATTGTATGTGTGTGGTTACGTGATCATTTCCTATACCGGTAGCCAAAGAGATATTTTTCACTCCCCTTTTCTTTTTTGGTGTTTTGTTTTGTTATGTATGTGTGGATGAATTTGATTATGGTAATGGAGATGTGTAAGCCTTTTTGTTGGGATCGCTATGATAGGAGGTAACATTAGTGTTTTAGATAAGGACTATTTCGTTTCATTGCTGTACTAGAACTTTATTTTATTTTCTTAAGAAAATATTTTCGCAATAGTTGTTATTCATTATAATTGTTTTACTTCTAGTCTTGTTATTTGAAGTTGTGAATGTGGTACCTTTTACCCACAGTTTCAATTATTAAATGAAGTATTTTTTTTAGATTATTATTTTATAATATTGAATTTGTCCATAAAGGGTAGAGGATGTCACATAATCGAGTTGTATCTTCCAAAGTATCTCTCTGGCTCTCTTTTACTCTTTCCTTCTATTTTTCTCTCCCTTTATTTCTCTCTCTATCTTTTTCCCTTTCTCCCTCTCTCTTGCTCTCTCTCCCTCTCTCCCTCCTTCTCTCTTTCTCTCCCCTATCTCTAATTTATATTTCTCTTTCTTATATCTTGTTATTTTCTTGACTTGCTAATTTTAATAATATTATCAAAGTGTATTTTGCTTCTATAGTTTAATGGTATTTGATAATATTTTTTTTATTTTTGGTATAAAAAACTTTTTTATTTTTTAAATAAAATAAAATAATATAATCTGATCCTTAATTATAAGGTAACATTTTTCTATGTTTATTTCTTTTGTTGAATTCTTATTGTAGAGAAAAGAAAGACACTAAAAAAGGGTTGAATAATGTCAATCAAAAACTTACGTGTTTTGAAACAACAAAGTAGTATCATTATAGTTAGGAGTGCATACGAAAATATAAGAATATAAACAAGATATTTTTATACTGATTCATCTCAACCACCAAGATTATGCGTTCAGTTTTGATCTAATGAGATCAAGTTTCACTATCTTATACAAAGATATAAATATTCTTTTCCCAAGCTACTTTTGGCTCAAACCAAAGTATTTTTTTACTTGCCTCTTCAAGCAACTACCTAAGGATTCTTTTAACACAAAGTCTTTCTAGAATTCAACAACTAAATATTCTTTTAAAAGCAAGTCTCTCCAAGCTCAAAACAATAACACTAAATTATAGTTGGGTAAGATAACAATGTCCCGTCTTATTTTCAAGATGTGATACAACTAGTATAATACAAGGTTGATTTATAGAAAGAATGAATATTAATATGTTCAATAAAAATTGTTCCTCTTCTTTTTGAATCATCATGCTTCCTTATATAGGTGGTTCAATGAAGATAACCGTTGTGAATCCTTAAACATTTCTCACAGGTTTGTTTTGTATGTCTTCATCTTTGTTCCTTATGGAGAGAAATTTTCATTGGTATATTAAATATATTTTATCAAATCGTCACTTTTATTTGATTAATGAAATTATATATCACCTTTTAAGTACCAAATGAACGGAATCATGTGTGTGTCAGGTAAGAGTAGTTTTGAACAACCTTATTTGGCATTTTCCATGATTTGGGGGATCAAGCATTCTTTTGTTTCTTTTAGTTGAATGTGAGCATTGTAGAAACTTTTTGATTCAATTTGTTAAGAAATCATATAGATGTAAGTGATTATGTAAACATCATAAAGGATATGAAATCAAAACATGTCTTTCATATTAAGTAATTCGTTTGGCTAGATAACTTAATCATCTTAGTGCTTTATTTGCAAAAATTTTCTCTAAAAAACATTTGATTTTTGACATTAAAACTTGAAATCCTAAGGAGTCTAAGATCATCTTTTGACCTAACACTTATTTAAATAACTTTAACTACAAATTATAAACTTTTTAAAATAATTTAAGTTTTATTAATTGCAAATACTATTATATATAATTTGTTTATATATGTAATCAATTTTTTATTATCATCAAATAGTAATTAGATCATTAAAAAAAGTTTAATGTCATATTTGTAATAATATTTGAATAAATAAATATATCTAACGAGATTATTTTAATAAAAGATATTTTTGTGAAAAATATCTATATACGTACAATTGCAATCAAACATGAAAAAATTTTAATTTCTAGGAAATATGTATAAATATTCTCAGGGAATTTCATAAGTAACCAAACATATTTTAATTATTTCTAAAAATCGTGGTTTCCAAAATTTGTAAGTCCCATGAATCATTATTTTCGTGTATGAAAAAATGTCCCCTTAGAATAAACATATTAATAAATGAAGTTCATAAAATTTCTTTAAAATTTTATTTAAGTAAATAAATATTAAGAAATTTTAAAATTATTTCAGTACATCTAGATATCCAACTAAATATATGTAATATAAGTTAATATGAGTCATCATAATCACTATCATCATTTTGTTATTGTCCTTGCGACCATCTTTATTGTCACATGGCTTTGAACTTATGTAATGGAGTATAAATTAATTTTCAAATTTTGCAAAATTTTGTACACTTCATTAAAATAATAAGAACTTTTACTTTAACAATTAAATCACTAAAATTTATTACAGATTATGAGTTATTAGTGGTATATCCCTACCAAAAATTACTCTTAACTAAGTGAATCCCTCCCCTATCCAAATATGTATAAGTTTTATATTAGGTGAAAATTAAAATTTTCTATCCAAATTAAGAATTAAAAATAATTAAATTTATTTTTCCGATAAAACAAATGGAAATTTACATTTTTATTTAAATTTCATGAATTTCAATTTTAAAAAAATTTCAAATTTTAGTATCCAAATATAACCGTAGTTCCTTAATTATGAAATGCGATATTTAGTTCCTCAACCAAAGTTTTCATCATCAATTTTCTCAAAATTTCATAATAAAAAAATAATTTTGATGTCACTTTTCATAATTAGGGAATTATAGTTTTTATTGTTTTCTATATTTTTTAAAGTAAAAATAATAGATAAGGGATGACATTTCATGACTACGAGGGAGAGAGCTAATAACATGTTGGAGATCCTTTGATCAAATGCCACTGTCCACTTAGTAGTTAGTCATGCTCAATTTGATTTAAACCTTCACTTGTGGAACTAGGATTAGTAGAAGCCCACAAGAGGTCTGAATTCAAGAGATTTTCTTGAATAGGTATGTCCACCAAAATAAAATTTTATGATTGTAGGAGATATCAAACTTGTATCATGAGGACCACAAACTCAAACCAAATGTTGTACCATTTGTGCCCGTTGTCTTCTATACTGGAGGACTATAGTTTTTACTTTTAATAAAATGGTTATTCTTTGCACCAGAATAATCACATACAATATAATTATATATCTGTTATAAAGAGAAAGAAATTAAACCGTAGCTTTGAACACAAAAATTAACACCAAAGTATATGACCCACAAAAGATGACAATAATAATTTCCTTTCTCTAATCACCCAAAACATTGTACCTACAGAAAACAATTAAACTATGAAAATAATATTACACATAGCTGAAAACAACCTATTCTATTTTAGCACTCTTCCAAACATTTTTGCCCCATGTTTCTTACAGTAGCATTTACTCACATGTTACAGTTGTTTATGAAGTATGCAGAAGCTATAGCACCATATACTTTTCCATCATAATATGGTGTAAAACAGGGAAATGATTCAGATTCACAGTATTATTTAGTTTACCAAAACCATTGAAGAACTCAACCAACTTTGTTGATTAAGCAGCCTCATGCCTTTGAAGACATGCTTGTTTGAATACTAGATGAAAATGGATTCAGGAACACACTAGGCCTACCATATTCACTTTTTATTTCCTCAACACCTCCAAGCTTTTGCTGTGCTGGAAGAACCTGTGATTCATTGGGAACTTCATCTTCAAACACCACCCAAACCATGCTTATTTTAGTCTCTAGTGTCCAATGAAAAAGAGTTGGTGTTGGTGTTGGTGACAAATTTACATCAATTTTCTCTTCAATATTCCTTTTGCTTTCTTCTGCTGCCACTGATAGTTCCATCTCTTTTGATTTTGTAAAGTGGCCTGAAATTGGAGGTGGCCTTGAGATGCTAGATAGAGAGACATGTGAACCTGCAAGTTCACTTTGTGGACTACCAAATTGCTCCAATGCCACTACATGATTCATGCTGATTATCTGAACAGAAGGGTAATCCAAGTTCTTGTTTTCAACCACTTGTTTGCAACTTTCATACAGATCATGAAGCCCTTGACTCTGCAGAGAAGCTTTCTTGAGTATCTCACATGCTAGTCCTCTGGCTGATGCTGTTAGATCAAAAAACATGTTGACAAGAGCAGCAATGCTTTCAGAGAATGTCATGTAAACTTGGAAGCTTTCCCTCAAGGTGTTGCTCATAGCAGCCTGAGCCAAGCTATGATCTGAGCACAAAACATCATGTGGTGAGCATTCCAACACCTTATCAATAAGCACTTGGCATTTTGGTAATGTTCTGAATGCCATATCAATAGATTTCTCATCATAGCGCCTAAACTCTAACCCTTTGGACATCACAGGCTCAAGTTTGCCTGCTTGGTTGATGAGCCAACTCATTCTCTCTTCAAGATATGCTGCATACTTGTGTAAGAAACCAACTGAAGGGTCAGAACTCCTTGTGAAGCACCTTGTACTAATTTGTAGGTGACCTGAGACGTGTGCCTTGCATAGCTCTTGTTCAAAGGACCTGTTTCCCCCTCTAAGGAGGCGATGGATCAAGACAAGGGTTTTAAGGGCCACAACATGATCCTTAGTCTTGCCTAGGCGGCGCGAAATCCTTTCGGCAAGGAAGGGGATAGATCCTGGAGAATTTGACACGAGGAAGAGGATTTCATGCATGTATCTGTCATCAATGGTGCCATTGTCATGGCCTGTGGCACGCAGCACTGCAATCTCTATGTTGGAAAAGCCATCATGGTGGTAATGGTACATCATGGCCTTGCCAATTGAGGCATGATCTTTCATTAAGCCAAGGGCTAATCGAAGCTTGCCTTGTATATCCACACCCATTGTTATTCTTCTTCCTTTTGAGAAAAGGAGAAGGACTTGTGCAATGTTGCTAGGGAGAATAATGGCACAATTTGATGTGTAGAGGTAAGAAGTTGGAGGTGTAGACACATATAAAGGTGGGTGGGGAGAGGAGTGAGAGAAAAAGTGTGGCCTTAAAAATTTGGAAGCAGTACAAATTGCAGAATCAAATCTTTCATATTTTAAACACGGAATTGTAATGTGGACAAGAACATTCATCATATAAAATAGTTTTATTACTTTTTAGATTGTTGTGTGGGATGGCTTAGCAGTCTACAAACCCAACAACACTGCAATATCCTATTTTAGAAGGGCAATAATCCACGTGCAAAGTCAACGAGTATAATACAAAAGGAAGAGCTTCGTTTCTTTGTTGGCCCTCTTGAAGTGACAGAAATGCAAGCAAGATTAATGAAATTGCCAAATTTAATCTCCTAATCGTTCTTTTCATTTAAACACGATCATGCTAATGTAGTGAATTGAAGAGATTGATGTAAAATGATTGTTTGGTTAAAATTATGCAGCAATTATTTGAAACAATCTCTTGGGGTGGAATGTTTGCATAGCATAATTAAGAGTTTATCATACCTGCTTATAGGGTGTTTGGACTAGTGTTTTTAACCTATGCACACTCAATTTTTCTGGTCAAATCAAATAAAAACACTGAAGTAACAGAATAGCTTTTGGTTTGACATAAATCAAATGTTTCAACATGTTGAACTAAACACACTAAGAGTCTATTCGGATACTAATTTAAGAGTTTTTAATAGTTTCTATAATGGAAAAACCTCTTTATTTTCAATAAAGAAACTCTAAAAAACTCTTTTAAGTTTGTATAACAAATTCTAAATATTCTAGGATTCAATAGGAAGGTTGCTACTTTGTGACCTGGAGGTCATAGGTTGTAGGAATAAGGCTAGGTACATCTACCCTCCTAAGCCTGTTACATTTGGATGCCTTTTTCTTATTATTTATCTTCGATGTTATGCACATGGCTGCTGTAAAGGAGATGCTATGTCATACATGCAAAAGTCATAAGCATTCTTGGGTTTGTTTTCCCCTTATTCCTAGTTGTATCTAGTTTTTACCTTTAAAAAGATATTTTACCTTCCCCTAGGTGTAGCCTTTTTCTCTCTGACCAAATTTCTTTTTCTTATAAAACTCATGTAGCAATTATTTATGGATAAGAACAAAGTAAATAATTAGCCACAGCACCAAAAGGCTTGTATAGGAGTTAATCAAAGGATAGTCATCAAGGCTTTCATTTGTTAAAGCTAAGATCCAATTGATTGCTATCAATATCATAATAACAAACATTGAATAATAAAGTTTGCCTTGGAAGGCTTTCAAGTTTTGGGGGTTTAGTGCATAATAGACTTTAATGTCATTTTAGAAGAGTCAACGAGGGAAAAAGTGGAGGATGGTGGAAGGTGGAAAAGAACCTTATTCTCTTGAGAATATGATTCTGCCGCATCTAACTCTCTTGCCATTCGCAACATACAAAATAATTTTGACTTTGAGAAATCTTTCTTCTCATCCACAGGTTTTCCATATAATCATGCAACTTTCATTTTGCTTTTGGTAGGGAAGTTGAAGCCCCACCCACTGGCACAGAGATCCAAAGGAGAAAAGTGTTGTTGCAATATTCTATTCTACCAATAATAATCCTATATGTTTGTGCCTCAAGGTACTGTAGTTTGGTCAGATCAGAATTTCAACATGAAGTAAAATCAAACACAACAAAAACCAAACGTTAAGTCAAAAGAGAGAAATTGATGACATTACTATTGATTGATTAGAGATGCATACTCATGGTAACACAAGAAATTATTAGGTGACCATAGATTATATGGCTCCTAATTAGTTTTTATATTAAACGTAATCAAATATTATTAATTTCGTTTGTAAATTAAAGAACTTAAATGCATATTATATATTAATTAACTAAAATTATGAATATTTTTGGCACTACTTAATAATTTCTCTAATCACATGACTTGAGAGTAACAATGTTATTTGCTAATGAACAACTACCAAAGTAATAGTAAAATAAAAACTATAGACATAAAAGGTAACATAAATGAAATTACATGGATTAAACCATGGTCGCGAAATCTGACCTTGGTGTGAGACTGATAGGTAAGTTTTCTATTTCACCAATTCAACGGGTGATCTGATGATTTGACAGCAAAAAAAACAGTTTAGGAAAAGGAAAACCAAAAACCAACATTTTTTACTATTTTAATCAAATATTGTTAGAAATATGACTAAATATTTTTTAGGAGAATAAATTAATTTTTAATAAGAATCTTTTATTTATGTTTCAAATATTTAGATTTGATCTGTTTTGATTATTTTAATATTTGTTTCCTTGTTTTTAGAATAAGATAATATCAATATTTGATCTTGTATGATAATTTTTCTCTATAAATAAAGATCTTATGAATAAAATTAGATTATATTATTCTGATAAAAAATTATATCTTTCAAAATACAGATATAAAATAACTCAACATCGGTATCAGAGCTAAGGTTACAACATGTGAAGATGGAAGCAAAAATAAATTTTTCACAAATTTTTCCACCTATTTTTTATGGAGAAAGTTATGATCTTTAGGCGATGAGAATGGAGATATACCTAGAAGCTTTAGATCTCTAGGAAACTGTAGAAGAAGATTATAATGTTTCCACGTTATTAGACAATCCTACCATAGCCCAAATAAAAATTCACAAGGAAAGGAAAATCAAGAAGGCAAAGGCAAAAAGTTGTCTCTTTGCCTGTGTTTCACAAAATATTTTCACGAGGATCATGACTCTCAAATTGGCAAAAACAATTTGAGATTATTTAAAGGAAGAATATGTTGGAGATGAAAGGATTCAAAACATGCAAGTATTGAATTTAATGAGAGAATTTGAGTTACAAAGAATGAAGGAGACTGAGACAATCAAACAATACTCAAACAAACTGTTTGGTATTGCTAGGATTACAATTTCTTGATTCTAGAATTATTGAAAAAATTCTAGTAACTATACCTCAAAGATATGAAGCTTCAATAGCGGTCTTAAAGAACACAAAGAATCTGAGTAAGATCACTTTGGCAAAGGTGCTACGTGCATTGCAAGCATTAGAACAAAAGAGGCTTATGAGACAAGAAGGAACTGTGGAGGGTGTATATTTAGCCAAATAGAAGAACAACGGTGGCAAAAATAAGAAGTAATTGTTCTAAGAGAACAGTTAAAATAATAGCACTCAAAATTTTCCAACATGTCCTTATTGCAAAAGGACTAATCATCCACAACAGAGATGTTGGTGGAGAGCTAATTCAAAATGTAACAAGTGCAAACAATTAGGACTCCTAAAATATGTACCCAAATCTCATGAGCAACAAAAAGAAGCCAACATTGTTGAAGATTAACAAGAAGAGGAAGAAGAACAACTACTCTCAATGTCATGCTTTATGACCAAAAAATCTTCAAAAGTATGGATTATTGATAGTAGTTGTACAAACCATATGACTTATAACTGATAACTCTTCAAAGAACTCAACAGAACTGATATCTCTAAAGTCCAAATGGGGAATGGAGCAAGACTTTACAATAAAAGGCAAAGGAACAATTATTATTAAAAGTCATTCAGGTTTAAAATTAATATCTGATGTTTTATACGTTCTTGATATTAATCAAACTTTGTTGAGTGTTGCTCAGTTGTTGGGAAAAGGCAATAAAGTGTTATTTGAAGATAAAAATTGTGTGATTAAAGATATAAAAAAAAATAAAGAAGTATTTGATGTTCATATGAAAGGCGAGTTTTGCTTTAAATTTGGAGAAGGAGGAGTCAATTATAAATTAAGATACGAGTGAAGAGCACAAAGATGCATGTCTTCAAAACAAGTTTGATGATCAAGAGGAGAATGAAGATGATAAAAAACACCTTCAAAAGAGAAGTTTAGACAAATGCTAAAATGGTCTCACTCAATAAAGATTACAACAAAAATCACAAAAAGAAGAAACCAATCAGAAAGAGAAAAGGCAGGTTTTGAAATTCAAATTTGAATTAGGTGATAAAGATATTTAGTTAAGGAGAAGTGTTCGAAATATGTTTATCTTTAGGAGAATAAATTAGTTTTTTATAAGAATCTTTTATTTATGTTTCATATATTTAGATTTAATTTGTTTTGATTATTTTAGGATTTGTTTCCTTGTTTTTAGAATAAGATAATATCAATATTTATTTTGTATACGATTTTTAGAGATCTAATGAATAAAATTAGATTATGCTCCTCTGATAAAAATTATATCTTTATAAAATACAAATATAAAATAACCCAACAAATATAAACTAATATATTTTCTTGAATCTTGATACATTGAATTTAGGATAATTGTTGGTTTACATAAACAAAATACCATAGACATTAAAAAATGAAATGGAGTCTTTGATAGTGAAGAAAAATAAGTGAGATATTAAAGAGGAAAAAAGTAAAATAGTCTTTAATTGGTTGGCCCGTAAAATAATGCATCATCATTAAACTTGTTTATTTTTTAAAGGAAAAGTTGGTGCAAAAATATTTTTTTTCTGGAAAGCTTTTAAAAAAAATCAACTTAATTTTTATAAAAGAAAGGCAAAATGAAACTTTTACAAAATGTTAAGAGATTTCTTTCGGTAAATGTTTTGTATACATACATATATAAAACCGAACATAGTTAGTGTATAATTATCTATAACACCACATTATGTTAATTATATCGAAGTTTATATAAAACTATTTAACAAATTTGTTCACTCTTAAATAGACAACTAATCTTCATGCTCTTATTTTATTCAATGACACCCCCCACCCCCTCTTTTTTTTTAGAATGCAACATTAAATCATCCAATGATCTACAATGTATATGCTGTTGACGGCTAGGAATATCCATGTTATGGAGGATTCCTCGTGTCAATTTCCAACTCGATTGTGTTAAAACAGCATTAAGATTGTGTTGTGTGGCATCAATTTGAGGGCTGACAAAGTTGTAGTAATGGACTAAGACAATAGTGCACATAAATAAACAAATGTTATCTTTCACAGTGACACAGACATACCGTGTTCAATGTGGTGGCTAGTACGAGAATGGGAAACTGTTCATCCAAATATTCTCATTGACAAAGCAGAGTCAAGAAACAGCAAGATAAGGCAGAATCTTCACAACAGAGAGATGGAGAAAAAATAATTTCGACCAATTAGGAGTGATGTAGTACTGTGCATTACCACGCAACGTTTTTTTGTTTTTTGGTGTTGATCAAAAAACATGTGGTGAGTTATGAGCCAGTGGTTGTGGAGTTTGTTAATCACATGATGGGGATTTGACCCTGAGAAAGGTAAAAACTAGAAAGTGATCTATAGATAATAAGCAAAAGAGTGAAGGAATCAAGGTTAGAATGTAATCCATATCTACATCTAAAACCATGGTTACGGAACCAGATGTCGCCTTCGTTTTATCCAAAGAAAATAAAAAGTCTCAGAGATTAATAAAGTGGATGTCAACTAACTAACTTTAGTAGAAAAAATTCATGTTTTTTCATTGATAATAATCGAAATTTTTGTTTAAGAGATTTGAGTCTAATTTTATTTTTCAGTGAAATCCCCTTTACTAATCACGTAGACTTTTATTTTTCTTTGGATAAAACGAAGGCAACATCTGGTTTCGTAACCATGGTTTTAGATGTAGATATGGATTACATTCTAACCTTGATTCCTTCACTCTATTGCGTATTATCTGTATAGATCACCACTTTCTAGTTTTTTACCTTTCTCAGGGTCAAATTTGAACAGAAACATCATTGTAAAATTGGAAGAGACAAATCCAGGGGAATATGATTACATGTACGTTTCTTATCCAATTAATTGTTGTATATTCATCTTGTTAGTGGATACCATTGAGTGTTCTTAGAAATATTATTAAAATCATGACTTACAAGAACAATTTGGTATTGGTTACTGTAGAAACAAATAAAGAATAAAAGGAAGCAAAGCACATACCCTGTAAAAAAAAATCAAGAAATTCATAATTATAACTTTTTTTAAAATAAGAGCTACAAACATACCTGCATATTGTATTTCACGTTGTCAACCTAATTTGATGTTTGGTATAAACAAGGAAAAACAAAAACTTTATACAGAACCAGAAAATTAAGAACTTTATACTGTTTAATAAGATCTAAATTTAGGTTGCCATCTCAATGTTCCTTTAGCACATTGAGTTCAACGGTATTCATTGAATTCTGGAGAATAATTTCTTCTCTGCAATCTGAAAATTCAACTACCCGACCCCAATTTCTTCTCACTAGCTTTAATATTTTTCATTGTCAACCTCAATTCTTCAATGGAGAAAATACCTCGTCTGAGAATTCTGAACAAAAGAAAAACACCATACAAAATAATGTTATTCAGAATTAATTTGGTTAGCAGTAGAATTGTAGGACTAAAATATATACTTTATTTTGCAGTTTGCACTAAGTTTAGATCAAATCTAAAATAGTCAAAACCTAAAGTCTGCAACTGGGTCAAGTTTTTAGGCTTGAACTAATGGAATAACCCTGAAACTAAAGATAACTAACAACTGTAATAAAATTTCATAATAATCTTCTATCAAGAAAGTACAATTTTCCAGTGTTAAATGCCATTTAAAATAACAATGAGTAGAAACATAATTTTCCATTATTTGACCAATTTCTGTGCATATGTACGGTTTTGTATTTCCTTCTTTATTCCATAACTATACTCAAAATGTTGACTCAAATTTGTGGATGTGCGGTGAGCAGGAGATAGAATAAATTGTACCTACATAAGAAATGAATGAAAATTTGAGAGCTTCTATTTGAGAGGCTTCATACCCTGTTCATGCTCCAAAAAGTAGATTCCCAGTTACTGTTGGATAAAATAAATACAGAACTTTCTCATGAAGCTGAGAACAAAATATAACAAAAAAAAAAAAAAAAAAACCATTATAGAAGAACTCTTATCTTAATTTTTTGACCATAACAGAAGGACTATAGTTGAATTTGAATGTAGGTTAACGGATAACTATAGAATAAGATCTTATTTTACTGTAGGATACCAAACAAAAGATTATGCCTTGCATTTCCAAATGCAAGAACATTTCCCAGCATTCGGCGGGGTACAATGTTCCAAAATGAAATAACTAGAATATATAAAATATGAAGTTATAATCTCCATTAAATATTGAGCTTCCCTATAGCAAAATAGAAATACTAATCAGCGGTAGCAATAATGGTTAAAACACCTATTCCTTTTCAGCCAATGAATGGAAGAGAAATGCATCACAGCAAATGTTATCTTTTTAAATCATATTTGGGGAATGAGGTTACTTGCTGGAGCACACAACTACAACAATGGTGTGATGTTCCATTTCCTGAAATGAACTTTGCCTCCAAGAAAATGTAACAACGTTTTAGTCTTCCTAAGAATAAGAATATTCAGCATTTAGTACATATAAATAAAATAATAAAACAAACAGTGATCAAGTCTCTGTCAGCTAGTGATAAGATTTTCAAGGATATTAAAAAGTAGAATTACAGATATATCAAGCTAAAACTAATTTCTCTGGCTATAAAAATCAATCAATCACCCACCAATATTCTTCAATACAAGATTATTTTTGGTGAATCCAATACAAGATTTTGTACAAAAAAAAACAAAAAAGGCCTCTAGCAAAATGTAAATGAATACAGTCTATACAGCACATAACTGAATCAGCTGCTCGTAATAAAAATCATAAACTCCTAGTTTCTGCCAAAACCTTTAGAATATATTTCAAGGAGATCTGCAACAGAAAACAGCACACCCAACGTAGACCAAGAACCCCAAACCAAACAGATGCTTGTTCAATAAGAAAGAAGACAACCTTCATCATGAACAATTGAAATAAATTGGTCTTACATGGATAAACTTCTTCATAATTACTTAGAGAGAAAAAAAATGTAAACTAAAATGAATCGAGTTTCTCACATGAACTAAAATCAACTTATGCATGTAACTCATATAGAAGCTTTCTCACCTAACTTCTCCAAAAGTTGAGGTGCATAAGTTGATTTTAACTTATCAAAACAAGGCCCAAGAGTAATTTATTAACAGAATTTCTGCCTAGACTATGAATCATATCCCTCTAACTCTCTGATTTCCTAATACATAGGAAGAAAATTATAATATTTAAATATTGGCTTAATTATGTTTTTAATCCTTCAAATTTGAATAATGTATTTTTTTGGTCCTTCACCGTTAGTACTTCAAAAATTATTATTTTGCTCCCTAAAATTTAAAACTTATTGTTTTAGTCCTTGTAATTTCAAAAAAATATTATTTTAGTCTCTCTATATATTTTTTTTGTCCTTCAAATTTAAAACATCCATTTTTAGTCCCCAAAATATAAGGAATAAAAATATTATTTTAGTCCTCTGCTTAGATGTCATTAGTAATTTTGTTGCATAGAATTCTTCTATTAGTGTCATTGTCGGTGAAAACATCATATTAAACCAATTGATACTATAAAATCATCTTAATCTGTCACTATCAATCATACTATTAGTGGTCATGAGGGACAAATAATATTTTTTGAAATTACAAAGATTGAAAAGATAAATTTTAAATGTGAGACTAAAATAATAATTTTGATATTTTGAGGATTAAAAACACATGTTTTAATTTAAGGGACTAAAAAAATATATACAAGGACTAAAACAATATTTTTTAAATTATAGGGACTAAATACACAAGTTTTAAATTTGGGGGGACAAAAAAATAATTACCCCAAATTTGAAGGACTAAAAACATAATTAAGCCTTAAATATTTCATTGTATTAGAAAAACAGTTTAGTATGCATATTTTAGATTTAATATATAATAACATGATAAAAAAATAAAGTCCTTGATAGAAAGAATGAATGAAATAAAGAATTTCACTGAATATCCTTCTACTAGATCAGTGGAACCCAGAGTGAAGTAGAGCAAGAATGTCTTGCAATAAAAGTCTCCATTAAGTCAAGAGCCTAGCCCCTCCCACACAAAAAACTCAATGACCAACTAACTCCCTTTACGGCTTTATGTGCCCTTGCCCCTATTTATAGCAACCTAACCAATTAAATAATTTTGACAGTTTTACACTTTTACTAACAAGGTCTACTGTCAAGTGTCAAGTAGCAAGGCCTAATTAATAGCTAACAGGGGCTTGACCAATTGATTCCTTGGGCCCCTCCTTATTTTTTCTAATATAAAATTTCCTAATTGGGGGTTGGGTGCTAACAGTCCCATCTGAAATTCATTTCATTTTATGTAACTACTTATTTAATAAAATGTGAACTGATTAAATAAAATACAGCTATTATTCTAGAGAATCCATCAGAAGGTATACCTTTGATGCCCGCAGATCGTTTACTTCCTTTCTAAGTGAATCATCAGATAGGATTAACCGAGACAGTGCCCCAGTGGATAACCTGCAATATAATTAATAAACACCAAAACAATTATAGAATAGTCTGAACAAATTAACAAGTAAGCCAGTAATTAAAATAACCATCTCTATACTTAAAAATATAACAAATTAGTCTAGAATAAAGGGGCGATAATTTCATGTTAAAATGAGAAGTGTGAAACTACCATGTAATTCCTTTATGAAGTTTCAAATCAATAGTCAAATGAACATCAAATTTTTGGGGCATACATTCATTAGCAAGTAAAAACAATTATTCATGTATATGCAGATCCAATATATTTTTTCACCCATAAGTGATATTCTAAATCAAAAGTTATAAATCCTGAATGATATAATCATAGTAACAAATGAGGCTCACGTACTCAGGAACACACCAAAACAAAAAAATCATACTTTAAGCGTATATCAAATACCCGAGATATTTTGCAGCTTCTGAGACAGTCCCCTCAACTGCAAAAATCAGATCCAAAAGAGCTTGCATTCCCTGTTAAAAGGACCATAACAGATGTAGTTAAGGTGCAACTAGGTTTGGAATAGTGATTATTATGAGTGAATGCAGAAGAAATAAATAAATAAAAAGTAAGGGATAAAGAGATACATGTCACAAACAACATACCAATGCAAATTTTGGGTTATTAGGACCAATTTGTGGACCACAATCTGACCCTCTGATGGATGATTTGGGGGGAAGTATCTGAAGCAGCTCTCGAGGTGGTGAATAAGCCTCAAGATCCACTTTTTTTCTGACTAGCTCAAGAAAATAACATACTATCTATCAGCAAAAATGACTATTTATCTCAGAGTAAGTAAATCCTGAACATGCAGGGGTGGGGGCTTCCCTGAACACATTACAGTCAATGTTAAACTGGCCAGTTCAATTAGTCAAACTGTGAACCAGCATATCCTCAGTTTGATTATCCATAAATACATTATCTACTAAATGGTTCAACTCAACCATTAATTTAACTAGTTGAACCAATCAAATTATGACCTTGAGCCACAGCCAGGTGGATCCCTCGTTCAATTTTAAAAAACATTGATTCTGGTAAATTCATTACAGGAACCAAGAGGAAATTTTGGGGGCAGGGCGGGGAGGAATTATCTTTTGCTTATTTAACTAGCAAATTATCAGTAAAGAGTAAATACATATTTACTTTAGACTAGGATAAATCCTTGGAAAATCCTAGTGCACCCAAGGGCCAATAAAATATTGCCACGTCACTGATTGCCATTGTAGTTACTCAATAAGAAACTGAAACCTCACTCTAGTTCTTGACATTGTATGCTCCACACATTTCAGTCCTTACTTTCACTAAAATTTCAAGTCATTTGCATCCGTGGAAAAGAACGCAAATTCCAAAGTTTTGGCAAAAGTGAGGTTTTGGTAAAAGGATAATATTTAGATGCAATTCCTTGCATGCTTTTTATGCTATTGTCCAATAGGAATGCAAGGAACACTCTAGCACATTCTTCACCTTTGGTTAGAATTTATTAGAAACTGCAAAATTATGAGTGAAACCCATTAAAACAAGTGGGTGTGGAACTCACAAAGTTTTGTCATTTTTTTCAATGAATATCATTCAATAGTTAAGAGTGTGTTAAAGAAAGTGTATAACTACCATTTCTCATTCTCAAATTGAAATTGAAATTTCACATCAATAACTCGCAAAATGAGAACAACGCCAAAAGCTTGTCCTTAGGTCGGAAAATGCTAATTAGTGCCCTGAGGAGAGGGCACTGGTTAAGGAATCAAAATTACAAATTTTATTGAAAAATGTAACAAAACACTCCCGTGTAATTTTAATGTAGTTTTCCATATATTGATTCCTTAACTATGTCCTAAGGGCACTAGTTAGCAAGACCCAAAACTAAAATAACAAACCAAAATGAGGGTTTACTCATACTTAGCTAGTCCACTAAATTTGGGCGCTGCGGTCTAGAGCAAAAATCAATCAATCATCAGGATTCAAATCCCAAATGTAAATTGCAATGTGACAAACACAAGTAACAATGAAACAAACTGGGACAGCAAGCAAACAAACAATAAAAGAAACACCTTTTAGAGCAATAAGAGATCGAAGGCGATTCAACGCGGAAGCGCGGTTCTTGTGCTGGGAGCGGTCCTCAGAAGCCTAAGCAGCAACAACAACCCCATGATGAGAAATGAAGCAAGATGAGATTTTGAGAGTGAAAGAGGGCGAAACCTGAGCAATGATCCCAGTGGGTAGGTGCTTAATGCGCACTGCGGACTCACGCTTGTTACGGTGCTGACCACCTGGTCCCGAGGCCTTGAAGGTGTCCACCTCGCACTGCCGCATCAGCTCCTCGTCCGTGAGGTCCACGTAGCATTGTTCTGAACCCTCGATGGTGGTGCTCGTGTAATTGGAGGAGCACCGTAAGAGGGTGTGGCTGTTGTTGCTGTTGTTGTTGTTGTTGATACTTCTTCTTGTTGAAAGGAGTGAGATTGGGTGAGTGTTGAGGAAGAGAAAGGGTGGGCGTGAGTAGCGAAATGGGTGGTGGGGAAGTGAAATGAAGGTTTTGTTGAGTCGGAGAGAGAGAATGAGAGTGGGTTTCAAGAGGGTTTTGTGTGCCATTGTTGGCCTCTCTCGCGTTCACTTCATGCTTCCGACCATTCGAACCGTTATGAGGTTTCAATGGGTTCGTGGGATGAATGTTGTAATAGTACAAGTGATACCAAATTCTCTTAATCAATTTGACTAGGGTTTAAATTTTAGTTTTGGATATGAAATAATCTTTAATGGAAATTGGTCTATTTTTGACGAAAGATACATTGTACTAGAAATAGGGGTGAGCACTAAATCGAGACCCGAACTAAATCTGAAAAACTCGATAAAAAATATTGTTTTTGGGTGGGTTCAGGTGGGTTTTATGGGTAAATCGAGTTAAAATTTTGATTTTATACGGATTATATTGGGCGGGTTCGGTTTTGAATTTTTAAACCGCTAAAAACCGAACCCAACCGAAAATGAAATAAATTTAAATTTTTATTACTTTTGTATAACTAAACAATAATGGTCCAAACTTAAAAGTCTTTATTTCAAGTATAATATATTCATCAATTTGTAACTTATTTTTTTCCTTTTTCTCATAATTTAGATATTTATTTTGTCTTTTCCTTCTTCATTCAACTTCTCAACACACTAGTCCATTTTTAGAGTTATCTTTTTGCTTCTTTCTTTGTTTTTCTTTTCCATCTTCTTATTTCTATTTTGAGTACAACTTGTGCAACTGTGATTTCTTATGAGTTTTGTAATCTAGTTTTAGATTTCTTTTGCATGTAACAACTATGAATTTTGTTATCTTTTATTTTTGCTTTTTTAGTTTGTAAATATTTTATTTACGAATCTACTTACACCATCTATTATCACTTCCATTCTATTTTTATACACTATTTTAAAAAATATTTTTTATCGTTTTAAGTTTCATCTTCGTTAAGATAAATTGGTCTACAAAAAAATTCAAACCCAATTGTACCCACTCACTCAAATCCGAATTCGTTTCAACCCGAACCGCCTCAAATCGAAAACTCAGTCGGTCGGATATAGGTCACATTTTTTCAAAGTCAGTTTATAACGAGTTGGACATTTTTCACCCGAACCCGACAAAACCTACCCGTTGCTCACCCCTAACTAGAAATATTTAAAACCAAATTAACAATACACTAATGTTTTAGGAAAATACTTCAGAGTCCCTGTGCAACATAAAAGAGTTAGCATGACCATGTATAAATGTGTTTTGGAGAAAGTTAACCAAAAATTGAGTGGTTAGAAGGCACCACAACTTTCATATGCTGACAAGCTGACTCTAACTCAAGCTATTTTTACAACTTTGTCTTCGCATACTATGCAAACAATTTATCTACGTAGGAAATTTATTTGATGATTTAGATAAATAGTGCAACAACTTCTTATGGGGAGATAGTTTTGATCATAGAAAATTGCATAGCGACTTGGAAAGACATTTGAAGTGCTCGCAATATGAATTTGTTATTTATGATGCGAAATTGTTGGGAACTTTGTACCCAACCTAACAAGTTATGGGTGCAACTTTTTAAGGCCAAATACAAGTGTGGGAATGATCCCTTTTACCTGTAATAGCTGCTAGGTCCAGTGCTTCAAATTTATAGTGAGGCTTATGTTCAGTCTAGGATGTAGTGAAGGAAAATATTATTTGGAGGGTTAGTGATGGGTCAAAGATTCGCTTTTCGTTAGACTATTGGCTTCCTAACCCACCAGCATTAATCAACGTCATTGTACACGAAGTTCCTACAAAGGAACATTTGAAAGATGTCTCTTGTTATGAAAGTCCTTTCGATGATTCGGAGCTCCAACATGTAAGCTAACTTTTTCCTAATGATATCTAACGTCACATTGCTGGGTATGCTCCTCCTATTTTGTATGAAGAGGAGGACATGATTGCTTGGGAGCCTCGCAAGTAGGCATGGCCCGGTCCCTGCAGAATTAAACTATCCTCGCTCCCGATACCTACTTGGGAGTAAAATTTGGGTATCCATTCTTGTTTCTAGCGAGGTTCGAGTTTCCTCGCCCTGCTCTTACTCCTACTTTTTTTTTCTTTTTAAATAAATATGAACAAATTTAAAAAAATAAAAGTAAAGTAAAATAATATAAATTTTTACATATAAATATTATTAATTTTAGTTTATATAT